CTTGATACGGGCTGATCCGATACTACGAGTGTTGCAGCTTCGATAAGGTCAGGTGCGATACTGCTGCACCTACGGGAATGCCAAGTATAATTCCCTTCATACTCCAACAGGTGCTTTGATATGGTTCACTTCGTTTCTGGTGCGGTGTTTTGACACGACAGAGGCGCTTAAGTTTCACTGTTTCCAACAATAATAACAACCTTTGAAAAATGGGAACACTGATGCATCAGGCTTTTTTTTCTGAAGACACTGTCAATCAAGGATTCTACACGGAGGGACCCTGCTGCAAAAGCGTGCCTAGAAGTGAATCTGAGGGCATGCTTCCGTTCTCCTTCCGCAATGCACTCTCTCTGCCTTGCTGCACCCCTTCAGTGGGTGTTGTTGCTGTACATGGTCATTCACTGCATGCAGTTAGGGGGTGTGTCCAAATATATATATATATATATATTACTTGTCTTCAATGTAGACGGTAGTGTAGGCTGTCAGAATGAGGAATGGGTGATCCATTGATGTTGGTTGGGGTACATATAACAAACCCTAACTTCTGTACCCCCTAAGACAAACCTCACTACAGGCTACAACATTTGACACACCCCCATAGCCTAAGTGAGGGGTGTCTAGCAAAATCAAAAAGAGTACGGTCACAAGACCAGTCCAAAAGAAAACAAAGCTCAGGGTGGATCACAACGTCACCACACACTCTGAGCACAAGCAACAGTGGCCACAAGGCCAGTCCAAGAGATCACAAGTATATATAGCAAGTGTACAGACGAAGCAGGCAATAAACTCAAGTCTACACATGACTAGAACCTGTGTCAACAAGGCCTAACTGCACACAACACCTCTGGTGGTCACAAGGCGGAAGCGCCTTGGTGAAGATGTCTGCAGTGTTGGCCTCGGACTCCACGAACTCGAAGCGAGCCTGTCCACGTCTCTGCAACTCTCGCAGAAGAAAGTACCTGACGTGAATGTGCTTCACTCTGCTCTCCAGTCGCGGCTCACGACAGAGGAGGATCGACGCCTTGTTGTCAGTAAACAAGGTCGGTGCAGAGCTCGGCCGCTCACCAAGGTCGACGAGCAAGAAGGTCAACCACCGCAACTCCTGTGCCGCCATGGCACCAGCGTAAATCTCAGCCTCAGCTGTAGAGGTCGAGACAGAAGAGGAGCGCGTGGAACACCAGGAAACAGCTCCAGAACCCAGACTGAAACAGTACCCCTGAGTAGACCTGTGAGTCTCAGCGTCGTCAGCGTAAGAGGAGTCACAGTGACCAGTGAGTACGACAGACTGCTGCCCTCCAAGAACTAGCCCCACGCCTGATGTAGTCGCTAGGTACTTCGCCACCCTCACAGCTGCCGTCCAGTGAACAGGACGGTGTCTCCCTGGCGCAACAAAGCGCGCAAGGATGCTGAGAGGGAAGGCGAGGTCCAGGCGAGTACAAGTCATCAGGTACATGAGGCAACCCACAAGCTCTGCATAGGGACCACTAGGCTCAAACGGCTCGTCAGGAAAGGGACCAGTGAGTCTGTGGTCAACAGCGAGAGGTGTGCGCTGTACGGTGGAGTGCTGAAGCCCGAACCGCTGAAGGACCTGCTGCACCATGTGTGACTGTGAGAGTGTAATGGTGCGAGCGGCTCTGTCCCTGGTGATCTGCAGGCCAAGGTAGTGGCGCAGCTCACCAAGATCAGTGCACGTGTGTCTCTTCTGCAGTTCGGACTTCACGTCTGCCAAAGCAACCCTGTCCGGAGTGGCGAAAACGAGGTCGTCGACGTAGACCAGAACAAAGAACGGTGTGGAGCCACGACGAACGAACAGCGACGGGTCGGCAGAAGACGGCTGGAACCCAAGGTCAGAGAGGGTAGAACGCAGAGTGTCGTGCCACTCACGAGGGGCCTGGCGAAGACCGTAAACAGGTCGCCTCAGCCTCCACTGGGTCCCAGGAGGGAAAGTGCCAGTGAAGGCCGAGGGACGACGCAACCAGACCTCCTCGTGTAGGCTGCCCTGAAGGAAAGCAGTGGAGAAGTCGAGAGAGTGTAACTCGTAGTCTCTCTGTGCTGCTACGTGTAGTAACACCCGAAGAGTGGTCATCTTCGGGGTAGGTGCGAAGGTCTGAAAGAAGTCAACTCCCTCGCGCTGACTGAAACCTCTAGCCACGTAGCGCGCCTTGAAGACCGGGGGAGATCCCGGTGGCCGCTTCACCCTGTAGATCCACATGCCGTCGACTACGTTCGCCCCAGGGGGGGGAACCTCATCGACGTAGGTGCCTGTGGATCTGTAGGAGGCCATCTCTGCGTCCATGGCAGCTCTCCACTGAGAGGCCCAAGGCCCTGACACTGCCTCAGCGTAAGTGCGAGGAGTCGGAATGTCAAGGGCGTCGGGGTCACCCTCAGGGGCGAGGAGCATGGCACAGAGATGAGGGGAAGCGGCCGCCAGGAACTCTAGCTCAAACTGCCTGTCCTCTAGGGCGTCACAGCCAAGGGCAGACACACCCCCGACGGCCAGAGGACTGGTAGGAGGAGCAGCCACAAGCGTGGTGGCGTAGTCAAGGCGGCGGGTAGCGGCAAAGTCAGTAACCGCGGCAGTAAGAGCAGACACAGAGGACACAGAGGCACGAGGGTGAGTAACAAGAGAGGCGAGAACACGAGAGAGAACAGGACGGTACGTGCGGTAGTAGTCAGTGACAGGAGCAGGGAGCGACACGGTGAGGGCCGACTCAGGAGGAGACGGAAGCACAGACTGAGACGGACGAGGTGGACTGAAACAAAGTAAGGCAGTACGAAGGTCAGTGAAGGGAACAGGAGACGAGGGACGAGCACGAGGGGAGCGACGAGTAGCCCAAGAACGAGACGGAGGAGGAGAGGACAAAGGCGGAGAACTAGAGAAAACAGCAGGGGAGGAGTCAGGCGGAGGAAACGTGGGACCGTAGACAGGAGGAGAGGCGGAGGAGGGAGGAGAAGGGGAGGGGAGACCAAGGGCCCGAAGACCCGAGACAGGAGGAGGAAGTGGCTGCTGCTGCGACTGCTGCTGCTGCGGACGCGGCTGCTGCTGGGACTGCTGCTCCTGCGGGTCCAGCTGCTGCTGCTGCTCCGTCAGCCGCTGTAACTCCCTCTCCTCTCTCTCCAACTCCAGCTGCTCGTCACGGGCACGGCGAACACGAGCCTGGTGCCTAGTCGGGTAGGGGTGGGGGGGCGGAGTAGTGTCCGAAGCAGCGGCAGCTCCAGAGTCAACCCCCGAAGAACCAGGCGCACCACCCCCAGAGGCAGCACTAACACCAGCTCCAGACCCAGGCGCACCAGAACCCGAAGCAGGCGCACCCTCACCCCCAGAGGGAGCACCCCCAGAGTCCGCGCGGCCAGCACCGGCTCCCGGACGACAAGAGTCCTCTGCACCCACCGGGTGAGCTCCAACTCCAGAACCAGAAACTCCAGCTCCAACTCCAGCACCCCCAGAACCAGAAACTCCAGTGCCTACTCCAGCTCCACCTCCAGCTCCAACACCAGCTCCAACTCCAGCACCCCAAGAACCAGAAACCGGTACAGGAACAGGCGCAGCACCAACCTCTCGAGAGCTAGCACCAGCGGCACGCTGCGAGGAGGACTGTGGGGAGGGAGGCTGTACCGGAGGGGCTACCGAAGGAGGAGGGGTAGCCTGGGACACACCTGACGGGGCAGGGCCAGGGGGGGGAGGCTGTACCGGGGGAGCAGGAGGGGGAGCGGCAGTCAGGAAGAGGGGGGGAGGAGGAACCGGGAGACCTCGACTGGGGTACCTGACGTAGTACGGAGTGGACTCCTCGAAACGGACGTCACGGGAGTCAAAGAACCGGTGAGAGGGAGGGTGGTAAAAGGTGAAGTCAGAGGAGTCCTCAGGGAAACCAAGGAAGACACAGGGGACGGCACGAGGCGAGAGCTTGTCCGCGGAGGTGTCGCGGACAAGAGCCAAGCACCCCCAGACACGAAACCGCGACGCAACACCAGGGGACCCTGTCCAAAGACTGGTCGGTGAAACCTCTGGTCGAGAGACACGTGGCCAGAGGTTCAGCTGGTGCGCGGCGTATCTGACCGCGTAGGGCCACAGAAAATGGGGGGCACAGGCGTGAGTCAGGGAGGTGCGGGCGATCTCCATGACCAGGCCTATGCGGCGCTCAGCAACCCCATTCTGCTGTGGGGACTCTGGAAGCGTCCAGGACTGACGAATGCCCTGCTCGCGACAGAATCCAGCGAGAATGCCGGAGCGAAACTCACCCCCACGGTCGGAGTGGAGACAGCTGACACGACGACCACGAGTGTCCGTAGTGGTGAGCAACCACCTGATCAGCGTAGAAGTCACCTCAGACTTCTTCGCCAGAGGGAACACTGTGGTGTAGCGGGAGAAGTCGTCAACGACCACCAGAAAGTAACGCTCACGCTCAGGGCCTAGACGAGGGGCTGGGCCCCAGACGTCCAAGTGAAGCGTCTCAAAAGGCTCGGTGGCCGGACGAAGGGAGGAGGAGTGAGGGGTGGCGCGCAGCCTACCCTCGACCCAGGGACGACACGGCGGCGCAGGCGAAGGCGGCAGCGACGGCAAGACACGTGGGAGGCCTAGGACAAGACGCTGACTAGACATAGCGCGCAGACGTGGAAGGGACGGGTGCCCCATCCGGTGGTGCCACAGAACGGTGGGGTGGGCAAGCGACCGGCAGGAGCACGACGCAGCGACTGGAACAGACGTAGGAACCTGACACGACACAGACACCTGGGGGGACGTAGCAACCTCACCCCCAGACGCAGCACCCCCAGTGTCCGCGCGGCCAGCACCAGCTCCCGGACGACAAGAGTCCTCTGCACCCACCGGGTCAGCTCCAACTCCAGAACCAGAAACTCCAGCTCCAACCCCAGCTCCAACTCCAGCACCCCCAGAACCAGAAACTCCAGTGCCAACTCCAGCTCCAACTCCAGCTCCAACTCCAGCACCCCCAGAACCAGAAACCGGTACAGGAACAGGCGCCGCACCAACCTCTCGAGAGCTAGCACCAGCGGCACGCTGCGAGGAGGACTGTGGGGAGGGAGGCTGTAGCGGAGGGGCTACCGAAGGAGGAGGGGTAGCCTGGGACACACCTGACGGGGCTGGACCAGGGGGGGGAGGCTGTACCGGGGGAGCAGGAGGGGGGGCTGCAGTCAGGAAGAGGGGGGGAGGAGGAACCGGGAGACCTCGACTGGGGTACCTGACGTAGTACGGAGTGGACTCCTCGAAACGGACGTCACGGGAGTCAAAGAACCGGTGAGAGGGAGGGTGGTAAAAGGTGAAGTCAGAGGAGTCCTCAGGGAAACCAAGGAAGACACAGGGGACGGCACGAGGCGAGAGCTTGTCCGCGGAGGTGTCGCGGACAAGAGCCAAGCACCCCCAGACACGAAACCGCGACGCAACACCAGGGGACCCTGTCCAAAGACTGGTCGGTGAAACCTCTGGTCGAGAGACACGTGGCCAGAGGTTCACCTGGTGCGCGGCGTACCTGACCGCGTAGGGCCACAGAAAATGGGGGGCACAGGCGTGAGTCAGGGAGGTGCGGGCGATCTCCATGACCAGGCCTATGCGGCGCTCAGCAACCCCATTCTGCTGTGGGGACTCTAGAAGCGTCCAGGACTGACGAATGCCCTGCTCGCGACAGAATCCAGCGAGAATGCCGGAGCGAAACTCACCCCCACGGTCGGAGTGGAGACAGCTGACACGACGACCACGAGTGTCCTCGGTGGTGAGCAACCACCTGATCAGCGTAGAAGTCACCCCAGACTTCTTCGCCAGAGGGAACACTGTGGTGTAGCGGGAGAAGTCGTCAACGACCACCAGAAAGTAACGCTCACGCTCAGGGCCTAGACGAGGGGCGGGGCCCCAGACGTCCAAGTGAAGCGTCTCAAAAGGCTCGGTGGCCGGACGAAGGGAGGAGGAGTGAGGGGTGGCGCGCAGCCTACCCTCGACGCAGGGACGACACGGCGGCGCAAGCGAAGGCGGCAGCGACGGCAAGACAAGTGGGAGGCCTAGGACAAGACGCTGACTAGACATAGCGCGCAGACGAGGAAGGGACGGGTGCCCCATCCGGTGGTGCCACAGAACGGTGGGGTGGGCAAGCGACCGGCAGGAGCACGACGCAGCGACTGGAACAGACGTAGGAACCTGACACTACACAGACACCTGGGGGGACGAAGCAACCTGGTGAGACGCGGGGACCCGAACGGGGGGGGGGAACCGGGGGCAGTGGCAGTAGGGGGGGCTGCTGGTGCGGCCGCTGGTGCTGCTGGTGCTGCTGCTGCTGCGGCTGCGGCTGCTGCTGCTGTTGCGGCTGCTGCTGCGGCGCACGCGGGCCAGTGTGAAGAGTGTAGAGACCCGAGCCCGGCTCAGCAGTAAAGGTAGCAAGAGGCTGGTAAGAGTCTCCGTCAACACACACCGCAGTCTCTCCAGAAGGCTCAAACCACACACCCACGTGCTGACTCACGAGGGGTCGCACGCCCACCAAGTTCCGGGAGAACGAGGGGACGTGAAACCCAGTGAGAGACCCGGAGGGAGCAGCAGGACACGGTAAAGTGGTAGTGTGACGTGCAGTGACTGGTCCCGTAGTGGGATCAGCCAACGCTACAGAAACAGGCGCAGGAAGTGGTGTAAGTGTCGTGCTGTCCCGGAAGAAGCAGTGGGAGGCTCCAGAGTCCAGTGTGAACGACAGCGAAGCGTCCCCTGAGGTAGTCGCTGGTCTAGAGTCTACACAAGTACCTACACTAGCAACAGGCAACTGAGCAAGACTAGCACCTAAGCTAACAACACCAGAGTAAACAGAGTCAGAAACACTAGAGTCAACAACAGCATACATAGCATGAGGAGCACTAATCAGATCAACTAACTGCTCAGCAGACATGCCCCACAGAGCTGAGCCGTAGCGCTGAACCAGAGGAAGCCAGTCAGGAGCAGGACCGCCAACCCCGTAGGTCAACCGGACCGTGTCAGTGAGCTGAGCAAAGCACTGACCAGGGGGGTGAAAGCGGCCACAAGGGTGGCCCCGACGAGGACCTGTCTGAACCTGGTAGGGGCAGGGAGGGTAAGCCGCACCGCGCTGGGGCTGACGCAGCCCCGACCCCGGAGCCAGCTGCTGACGCTGCTGCTGATGAGGCTGCTGGGAGGAAAGGGGCTGCTGCTGCTGCTGAAGGTGCTGCTGACGCTGAGCCTGGTACCACGCCGCTGCTCCACCTAGCGGGGCCGGCAGTACAGGAGGCGACTGACGAGCTCGGGGGTCGCCGCCACCAGCAGGTGCAGTGGAGTCACCAGCCGCTGCACGAGGGGTCTCTCCAGACGCTGCACTCCCACCACCCCCAGTCGCAACAGCACCCCCACTACCTCCGCTACCTCCGCCTCCACCTCCACCAGAACCACCTTTCTTGCCCCCCCCGCCGCGGGACCGCGACGCAGTCGTAACAGCAGCCGCAGTCGCGTCAGTAGCGGCAGTGGCAAGAGAGGCAGTGAAGGTGGGTAACTGCGGGACTGTGCACCCGTGGAAGAGTGGGGGGGACACAGTACCAGAGGCGGCAGCTACCGAACGAAGGTTGCTCTCGACGTCCTTGAGTGCAGACTCAAGGACCTCGATAGTCAGCTCACTAGGGTGCTTCAGCAGAAGCGCGTCACGAACGGAGGCAAGGCGGTCAGGGAGGCTAGTGGCGATGAAATAGACAGTGATCGCCATGGGGGGAGGAAGCAGTGTAAGCTGTGCCTCAGTGCAAGCAGCGCGGTAACTAGCGTCGAGCGAGCGGAGGTGAGCGATCAAGTCAGCAGAGCGCTCAAACGAGGCAAGATCAGGAAACAGGAACGGGAGGAAAAGACGGCCAAGAGAGACAGTAGCGGGAGTAGAGTAGCGGGCCTTAATCGCAGTGAGGTACGCAGCAGCGGTGCGAACCTGAGTAAAGATAGATTACAAGGAATATAAATAGTCCTAGTCTAGCCATGTACTCTAAGGGGTACATTCCCTTATTATAACGGTTTTACAGGCAGATTCTACAGTGACTCTGACTGTTGCTCTACTTTCTTGTTACCGAGTCGCTGCATGTAACCTGCACGCTTACGCCTGTTGCCATTCCTCGATGGTGGGTCAAGCGTCAGTCCAGAAGGTCAACAGTCGCGACAGTTGACTCTTGCGACTGTTGACTTTCCTGCCCTTGATACGGGCTGGTCCGATACTACGAGTGTTGCAGCTTCGATAAGGTCAGGTGCGATACTGCTGCACCTACGGGAATGCCAAGTATAATTCCCTTCATACTCCAACAGGTGCTTTGATATGGTTCACTTCGTTTCTGGTGCGGTGTTTCGACACGACAGAGGCGCTTAAGTTTCACTGTTTCCAACAATAATAACAACCTTTGAAAAATGGGAACACTGATGCATCAGGCTTTTTTTTCTGAAGACACTGTCAATCAGGGATTCTACACGGAGGGACCCTGCTGCAAAAGCGTGCCTAGAAGTGAATCTGAGGGCATGCTTCCGTTCTCCTTCCGCAATGCACTCTCTCTGCCTTGCTGCACCCCTTCAGTGGGTGTTGTTGCTGTACATGGTCATTCACTGCATGCAGTTAGGGGGTGTGTCCAAATATATATATATATATTACTTGTCTTCAATGTAGACGGTAGTGTAGGCAGCATCTCAGTTGGTGTAGGATCGTAGGTGGTGGTGTTCCATTTGCTATTGTTACCGTATTTGTTTGTAGCGTATCTTCCTTCCTTCCTATTGTGCAGGTTGCAACCCCCTGTTCCCAATCTCCCTACCTCTTATGTTCTCTCCACTCACTTTGTCTTCCTTCCTAGCCATGTCTCTCCTGGTTTCTAACTAAATTTGATTCTGACACCATTACCCAGGGAGTACAGTGTAATGGCTTGTGGCTGCCTCAGGTACAGTGGCTCAACATGACTTAGAAACCAGCTTGACAACACAAATCAGAGAACCCATTCAATTTGGTACCAACTTGTGATTTGAGGAGGAACTACCTGATCCTAACATTCATGTCAGGACGAACTCCGTCCGTTCTGCCCTGCCAGCCAGCATAAAAAGGGCTTTCCAAACTCTCTGAATTTCAAAACTCTGAATCTTCCTCTCTCCAGCCAGAAGCTTTACAGGAGCAGGAAGGGAGCGGCAAGGGCCATGACGGCAGTCACAAAGCTGGGTGACGCACTCGAGACTGCATGCACAGCAGGGTGGGGGGCGGGGGAAGGGGCGGGGCGGGGTGGAGAAGGGGGGTCGAATGTGACTCAACTTGTGATGTGCATTGCGGACATGGTCTGCTCACAGATGCAACCATGAAAGGAACTTGGGACATCCTCGTTCAACTTTGAACTTCACAATGCAGCTACCTGAACCGCTTGCACCAGGATCAAAACTCACCTGCAGGTTTGGACGAGTTGCTGGGAGCAGGCGGCGAGGAGGGCGCGGGCGGTGGCGAGGGCGTGAGGACGGAGACGATGCCGGTGGAGGGGTCGGCGGCGTACTGCAGCCCTGTGTGGATGATCGCGCCGTTGCTGCCCACGAGCGTGCCGTTGTTCCACCCGGTGAAGTCGCCCACCACCCACGACCCGTCCTTCTTCACCGTGCCGTACACGGAGTTGCCCTCCGCGTCCAGCACGGCCCCGTCGCTGAAGAACGACGTGGCGCCCACCGTGATCTTGATCAGCTCCGTGAACACCAGCGACACGCCCGGCGCCGTCAGCGTCTTGTTGGGGTACGCCGAGTACACGCTCGCGACGGTGTACGACCCGTCGGCGTTCGCGGCGGGCGTGACGACGGCGCCTGAGGAGTCGAGCACCGTGAGGTTCTTGAGCAGCGTGTACCCGTCGAACGACAGCGAGCGATCGCCGTTAATCGTGATCACCGTCGTCACCCTCACCGGCGGCGCGGGCGCGGCGGGAGGAGGCGCAGGCGGGGCGGCGGGGGGCTGCGCGCCGGAGACGATGCCGGTGGTGGGGTCGACGGCGAAGGGGATGCCGGTGTTGACCACCACGCCGCCGGGGCCCACGATGGTGCCGTTGGACCACCCCGTCACGTCGCCCACGGTGTACGACTTGTCGGGATTCACCGTGCCGAACAGCAGCATGCCCGTCGCGTCCGTCACCGACCCGTCGGACAGCAGCGTCGTCGTGCCCACGGTCAGCCCCGTGGGCGGCTGCGTGTAGAGCGCGACGCCCGGCGCCGTGAGCGTGCCGTTGGGGTACGCCGTGTACACGCTCGCGACGGTTTTGGAGCCGTCGGCGTTCTCCGTGGGGGTGACGACAGCGCCCTTGGAGTCCACGATGGTGCCGTCAGTTTTGAGCGTGTAGCCGTCGAACGTCAGCGACCCGTCGGGGTTGAACGTCACCACCGTCGCCGCATTGGCCGTGGCGGCGGTGAGGAGGAGCGCGAGCAGCGCGAGGGGACGCAGAGCGGACGCCATGCGGGGCGGGCTGCTGGGAGCTCGTCAAGGCACGCCTGACCAGCGAGGGAGCAGTGGCCGCCGCTAGAACTGCTGGAGCTGCTGGTAGCGCAGCAGACGAAGTTACGAAGAACGATTCCGCTAATAGCAGAGTGAGGAGCGAAGAGGCTTCAAGTACTCCCTCGGCGCCTGGGGTCTCCACGGCCCGCTCGCACATTTTTGTGATCGGACCAGCCCATGGGCGAGACGACGATACTGTAGCGAATGGCGGCGACGCACTCATGTTCGGATCGGCCGGACCGCGGACTAGGCTCTCCACTCCCACTAGGCCCTGTACAGGGGAAATTCTTTTCGACAAATAGGAGCTGTGCGTGGGCCACGTTCGTTGCCGTTCATTCCGTTCGGAGGAATGCGCTGATTCGTCGGCAGGTGGAGAAGCGGATGGAGGCCTCTCAAACGAGTGGACGCGCAGCGATAGCGTGGATGACGTGGCGAGCGATCTATTGTCGAAAGGCGACGCGCATGCTGCTCGCGCGATCTGGGCTGTGGTCGCAATAAGCATCACGCGAACCTGGTTATCAGTGCTACTTAGGTGCTTGCTTCCCACACAAGCGCCTAGGAGCAGTGAATCTTGGATTTGCGAAGATTAAGATGGGTAGGATGCAATGAATCAAGTGATACGCGGCACGACGAGCGAGGTAATGCTGCTGCGCAAGGGCGGGGAAAAGGGGAAGGAGGCAGTCAGATCGGCGGAACACAGCGATTGAAATGCGGTTCACTGAAGTTGTGAAGTGTAAGGAAATTCCCTTTTCCTTATTTCGCGTCCCTGCTCAACGCGTACATCACTGTAGCACCTCAGTCAGCATCGTTACCACTCGCGACCATCACATCATTTATCATCCCGCCAGTTTCGCACATCGCATCCCGACCTCACGGCTCGGCTGGTAACCCGCGCTCCAGGCCTACGCTTCGACACTTTCCCAACCTCAGTCCCAGGCCCGTCGCGCGACCATTACCGTTACCACTATAGTTTCGCTATATATTGTTCGCTCATGCCTTCGCTCATTGTACTCTTGCTTCGATAGTGCAATTCTCGTTCGTTCACTCAATTGCACTCGTAACACTTGGTATTCAGAGCCTACGATCTCATCTCGGACCGCATCCACACCCTCGCTTCCCACTATCTCAATTTTGGGGGGGGGGTAGACGTCTCTCAGCGATACAGCACCGCCGCTCGTAGTGCTCTCTCGCAAGCACGCACGGCCACGACCGAGGCTCTCGCTGAGCTTGCCCGACACCCCTGCCATGGCCGATTTCACGCTCGCCACGATGACGCAGGAGCAACTCAATCGTCTCATGCGTCAACTGGAGGACTCGGCGCTCGAAATCGCGACGCTCACGGCGGAACGTGACTCCGCCCGTCAACAGTCAACGGTGAACGTACTGACGACATCACACGCACCAACCAACGCCTCTGCACATTCGGAGGAACCAATTATCATCTCGTCCGGCACACCGACACAACACAACAACACGGGACAGCGCTCAGGCGCAGCCAGCGACGGCGCCGCCCAGCAGATGCCCGGCATGGGAGGGAACAGGAGCGCGATAAGCCCACGGGAGCCCCGAGAAGCCCGTCGGCACGTGGAGTTTGCGGCGACAAGTGGCGAAAACGCCATAATGGCCCCAATGCCACTCAAGCCGCAACGCCCGCCCTGTTTCGATCCAAGCCAACGCGGCGGCCCGACAGTTCAATCGTGGGTCTTCACGATGAATGTTTTTTTCGACGCCAACTACGTCGAGTCGGACGCCGCCAAGATCCGGTATGCGGTTTCACTGTGAAGCAAGGAAAACAGGAATGAGAATGACTAAGGAAAGATTGGGTACAAATACAACCCTAGAAACCCTATACCCCATATGTGCTACCCCACTATAGCCTACAGCAACTATGTCATATAAATCTGACACACCCCCATAGGCAAAGTGGGGGAGAACAAGGGGTCACAAGACCAGTCAAGCAAAGCAAAGCAAGCTCAGGGTGGATCACAAAGTCACCACACAGTCCGAGCACAAGAGTAGGGCCAGAGGCCAGTTCACATGCAGGAGTACAGACATATATATAAAACTAGACAAGCAAGAGCAGGCATATATATATGTCACAGTACAAGTGAAGTCAAGAGGAGAGCAAGTGAGGCAAGACAGGCACAAGACCCAGCTGGGTGCAAAAGCGCTGATGGTCACAAGGCGCGAGTGCCTTGGTGAACACATCAGCAGTGTTGGCCTCAGAGGCCACGTACGCAAGTCGCAACTGACCACGCTGCTGCAGCTCACGAGCAAGGAAGTAGCGGAGAGCAATGTGCTTCGTTCTGTGCTCCAAGCGCTGCTCTCGACACAAGGCCAGCATGGCCTTGTTGTCTACGTACAGCACTGGAGGAGAACGAGGCGGCTCTCCAAGGTCAGTCAGCAGGTAGGTGAGCCAGCGAAGCTCCTGTGCAGCCATGGCCCCAGCGTAGATCTCAGCCTCACAACTGGAGCCGAGAACCGAAGACGAGCGAGTAGACCGCCACGAGACAGAGCCGGAACCAAGGCTGAAGGTGTAACCCTGTGACGACCGCTGCGTAGCCTGGTCGTCAGCCCAAGAAGCGTCCGCGTGGCCGGTGAGGACCACTGGACTCCGCCCTCCAAGCACTAGCCCCATGCCCGACGTACTGCACAGGTAGCGCAATACCCTCTTCGCTGCAGCCATGTGCTCCGGTCTGTGTCTCCTAGGAGCAACATAGCGTGCAAGAATGCTCAGAGGGTATGCAAGGTCAGGTCGTGTGCAGGTCATCAGGTACATGAGGCAGCCAACAAGCTCTGCATACGGACCACTCGACTCTACGGACTCATCCGAAGGCAGAGCTGAGAGTGAGTGGCGAGAGGCAGAGGAGTGGCCTGAGGCGAGGAGTACGTGAAGCCGAAGCGCTGAAGGACCTGCTGCACCATGTGTGACTCAGCCAAGGTAATGGTGCGGCGTGCTCTGTCCCGAGTGATCTGCAAGCCAAGGTAGCTGCGCAGTTCACCCAGGTCTGTGCACGTGTGTCTCTTCAGCAGCTCGGACTTCACGTAGGCGAGTCCAGCAGTGTCCGCTGTGGCAAAGACCAAGTCGTCGACGTACACGAGGATGTAGAACGGCGGCAGGGAAGTGTCGGTGCGAAGAAACAGCGACAGGTCAGCAGTAGAAGGAGCAAACCCAAGAGCCGCAAGCGTAGTCCTCAGTGTGTCGTGCCACTCACGCGGTGCCTGGCGGAGACCGTAGACTGGCCGTCGGAGGCTCCACTGGGTGCCAGGAGGGAAAGTCCCAGTGAAGCCAGGTGGACGGCGAAGCGAGATCTCCTCGTGCAGGCTACCCTGCAAGAACGCAGTGCTGAAGTCGAGAGAGTGAAGCTCGTAGTCGCGCTGAGCGGCTATGTGCAGCAGAACCCGAAGAGTAGTCATCTTCGGGGTGGGAGAGAAGGTCTGAAAGTAGTCAACTCCCTGCCGCTGACTGAAGCCACGAGCAACGTACCGTGCCTTGAAGACAGGTGGAGAGCCCGGCGGCCGCTTCACCCTGAAGATCCACATGCCACTGACGATGTTCGCCCCAGAAGGGGGAACCGCGTCAACGTAGGTGCCTGTGGACTTCCAGGAAGCCATCTCTGCATCCATAGCTGCCTGCCACTGAGAGGAGTAGGGACCCTCTACAGCCTCCGCGTAAGAACGCGGAGTCGGGATGTCTAGTGCATCCGGGTCTCCCTCAGGGGCAAGCAGTACAGATGCGAGATGAGGTGAAGCAGCCGCTAAACACTGTAAATCCTCCTGCCTGTCCTCTAGGACGTCCGTGCCAAGAGCACACTCACCCCCGACGGACGGAGGACAGACAGACGCAGACTCAGCATCAAGACTAGCAGCGTAGTCGAGACGACAGCGAGCAGCAAAGTCGACGAGCTCAGCGACAAGGGCAGACGCAGCAGTGGACTCAAACGAGGGGTCAGTGACGACAGTAGCAAGCAGACGCGTGACAGTAGGACTGGCAGCACGAAGAGAGTCCGACTCAGGGTCGGCAAGCACAGGAAGAGAGGACTCAGGAGGAGAAGGCAAAGGGGCACGCAGAGGAGCAGTGGACGGACGCAAAGACATCCGGTGCGTGCCAGGGACAGGAGGAGGACGCTGACGCGAACTGCGACCACTAGCGCGAGCAGCACGAACAGGCGACGCGGGACGAGACGCAGGCTCACGACGCTCAGCAAGACCTCGAGTAGGACCAGTGTAAGGAGAGGGAGCAGGCAGTGGAGAGGAAAGCTCCAGCAGGGACTGCGACTGGACAGGCGGTGGACCCTCTACTAGAGGAGAAAGACCAAGAACCTGCTGCAGGAGTGGAATGAAGTACGGCCAAGGCCGCGCGGCAGCTCGAGACTCAGCAGGGACAGCACCACCACCCTCAGCGACAGCACCAGCGCCACCCACACCTCCAGCGGCAGGACCAACAGCAGTAGGCTCAGCACCAACGCCCTCAGCAGCTCCAGCTCCAGGAGGACCCGCAGGTCCAGCAGCTGCGGGACCGGCAGCACCCGCACCCTCGACGGTCGAAGAAGCTCCAGCTCCAGCTCCAGCAGCACCTCCAGACGCAGTAGCACGCCTCCAGCGGCGAGCGAACCACTCGCGCAGCTCCTGTGGAGAGAGGGGCTCCCGGCGAGACGCAGCAGCAGGAGAAACCCCAGGCTCAGCAGCTCCCAGCACAGCACCCCCAGGCTCAGCAGCTCCCGACCCAGCACCCCCAGACCCAGCACCTCCAGGCACAGCACCCCCCGGCTCAGCACCCCCAGGCTCCGCACCCTCCGCAGTAGCACCCTCAGGCCCAGCACCCCCAGCAGTAGCACCCCCAGGCTCAGCACCCCCGCGCACAGCACCCCCAGAGTCAGCACCCCCAGGCTCAGCACCCGCAACAGCACCAGAGTCACCAGTAACCTCGACCGGGTCAACGGCGTCTACCTGGGACACACCTGAGGGGGCAGGAACCTGAGGGGGGAGGGGGTCTACCGGGGGGGGAACCGGCACAAGGAAGTCCGGGGGAGGGGGGAGGGAAGGAGTGCGGTAGGGGAAGAGACGGTAGAAGGGGACTGACTCGTCGAACGTGACGTCCTGGGAGGACAGAACACGACGAGAGGAGGGGTGGTAAAACTGCCACCCTGGGGCGTCAGTGGGGAAGCCAAGGAAGACACAGGGAGCAGCACGAGGGGACAGCTTGTCCGCAGACAAGTCGCGGACAAACGCCCGAGATCCCCAGACACGGAACACAGACGCATCGCCAACCTTCCCCGTCCACAGCAAGGCTGGGGACATCGCAGGCCGAGAGACCCGGGGGTGAAGGTTGAGCTGATGCGCCGCGTACCTCACCGCAAACGGCCACAGAAAATGGGGGGCAGCCGCATGCATCATGGACGTACGAGCGACATCCATGACCATGCCAATGCGGCGCTCAGCAATCCCATTTTGCTGTGGTGAGTCCGGAAGCGTGAAGGACTGGCGGATGCCTCGCGCACGACAGTAGGCACGCAGAAGGCCAGAGGAGAACTCTCCGCCTCTGTCCGAGTGCAGACGCAGAACAGGAAAGTCCGAGCCGAAGCTCTTCCTGAGCTGGAGACGAGCCTCGCGGATCCAGTCGATCAGCACCTCAGTGACCGCACCCTTGCTGCGCAAGGGGAGGACTGTGGTGTAACGCGAGTAGTCGTCAACCACCAACAGGAAGTAGCGCTCGTAACCCTGCCCATGGACGGGGGCTGGACCCCACACATCCATGTGAAGCGTCTGCAGGGGAGCCTCTGTCGGGGGGAAGTGGGAGGAGTGAGGAGTAGCCCGGAGGCGACCCTCGACACAGGGGACACAGGAAGGTCCTGGCTCGGAGGGGAGAGGAGGGAGAGACTGGGGAAGACCAGAGACAAGGACACGGGAAGCCATGCTCCGAAGACGGGGCAAGGAGGGGTGGCCAAGACGGTGGTGCCACAGGAGAGTCTCGTGAGACAGGAGGCGACAAGAACAGGGGGCAGACTCAGGACCTGACCGGGACGCAGCAGCAAGTACCTGACCCGACGCAGCCACCTGACCAGACGCAGGGACAGGAGGAGACTCAACGGTCAGGGTGTAGAGACTCGACCCCGGCCGACGCGAGAACGTGGCCAGGTGTCGGCCTGTGCGTGCCTCCGTGCAGTGGGTCACCCGCTGACTCGCAGGAGTGAACTGGTGAACACCCACATCCTGCAGGTCCGCTCCACTCATCAAGTTCGTAGAGAACGAGGGAAGGTACAGACCCGACAGGGTGCCCGAAGGGGCAGCCGGACACGGGAGGACAGTGGAGAAGTGAGACAGGACAGGACCCCCAGAGGGGTCAGCAAGGGAGACTGCAACCGGCCGGCCAAGCGGCGTAAGGGTAGTGCGGTCTCGAAAAAAGGAGCGAGAAGCTCCGGAGTCAAGTGTGAAAGTGAGGGAGGACGAGGACGACTCAGTACCTGAGAGCGCAGTCTCACCAGTACCTGAGAGCGCAGACGCACTGGCACCTAGAGCAGCAGCCTCACAAGCACCTAGCGCAGCAGTACCAATGCCCGGGTCGGGCTGGAAACAGCGGTAACCCTCATTCTCCTCACTATAATCCACAACATACATAGCAGTAAGGATAGCATCAAAATCAAGATCAAAGATCGCTACACCAGCCCTGAGAAGCTCATCCCAGCGAGGGATCTCACTAGCCCCAGGGAACTGCTGACGCCAGGCGTCCGTCAGGCGGCCAAAGCAGCGCTGGGTGGCGTGGGCACCCCCACACTGCTCACCCGCGCGGTCGCCGGAACGAAGAACGTAGGTGCAGGGACCAGTACCCCCACCCCTCTAACGCCCAGCGTACCACTCACGAAGCTGCTGAGGCGAAGGGATGTCCCGAGAGCGCTGCTGCTGCTGCCGCTGCGAGCGCTGGCCACCACCACCGCCGCTACGCTACTGGGTACCACCCCGACCAGCTCCACCCCCTCCACCACCACTGCCTCCTCCGCTGCCGCCTCCACCGCCTACACCTCCGCCGCCTCCACCTCCGCCGCTGCCTCCACCACCACCGCTGGCACCACCACCACCGTCTCCGCCGCTGCTGCCACCACCACCACCACCCCCGCCACTAGTCCCGCCGCCACCCCCACTCCCTCCACCGCCACCGCCGCCACCGCCACCGCCCCCTCCAGCTCCACCCACGCCCTTGCCCCCCTTGCCCTTGCTGGAGCGACGTCTCCCACTAGGGGCAGACGCCGCGCCGACCGACTCAAGACCAAGCAGGTCGGCAGCAGCAGCAGAGGCAACAGAGGGCAGCAAGGGGGAAGGAGAGCACCCCTCAAAGATGGGGGTGCGAGGGTCACCACGAGAAGCACCTACAGCGACTATGCTCTTCTCCGCTGCGAGGAGGGCCTTCTCGAGGAGGTCGACGGTGAGGGTGGTGGGACAGACTGCGAGAAAGTGGTCCCTGACGACGCGAAGGGAGTCACGGAGGCGCGCGACTACGTAGTAGAGAGCGATGTACATGGGGGGGGGGGGTTCTTAGCGCAGAACTCAGCAGGAAGGGCGGCGCGGTAGCGAGTGTCACTAGTGCGGAGGTGCGTAATGAGGTCAGCGACAGTGGGAAAGGCAGAGAGGTCAGGAAAGAGGTAGGGAAGCATGAGACGGCTCAGTGCAGCAGTGGCAGGGGAGGAGTAGCGCGCAACTACAGCGTCGTACAAGGTCTGAGCACTCTTGTACTGACTGAAGTGCGCACGCTCAGAGGTAGGGAGGTGGCGACGCACAGCAAGACGTGCAGCAGCATCGCGGGTGGCCCACTTAGAGCGGACAGCGGGATCAGCATCAGCAGCAGGAGCAGGAGAGGCGCCAGAGGTGAGATCAAAGAGAGAAAGGTCGTCAGCCCTGTCGCACTGTAAGAACAGCTGCAGGTCGTCTAACCAGACCTCAAAATCAATGGCGCGACCCTCAGCGTCAAAAGCTAGGACACTAGGGGTAGCCATGGCGACGACAGCGACGCAGTGCAAGCAGCAGGGAAAGAGCTCGCAGTGTCAGTGGGACTGTGCTCACCAGGCAGGGCAGGTCGTGTAGGTATGCAGAAAGGCGGCTCAGCGACCTGGCGGCTCGGGTGCTGGGCGGCTCGGCTGCTGGGCGGCTCGGGCGCAGGGCGGCTCGGCTCCCGGGCGGCTCGGCGGCTGGGCGGCTCGGGTTCAGGGCGGCTCGGCTCCCGGGCGGCTCTGCGTCGGGCGGCTCGGCTCACGGGCGGTTCGGCTGCTGGGGCGGCTCGGCCAGGAGATGCAGGGGCGGGGCCGTTAGGTGCAGCGGCGGGTTGACCGGTGCAGTGGCGGGCCGGCAGGTGCAGCGGCGGGCCGGCAGGTGCAGCGGCGGGCCGGCAGGTGCAGCGGCGGGCCGGCAGGTGCAGGCGGCGGGCCGTAGGGTGCAGTGGCGGGCCGTAGGTGTCAACTTATATTTGTAACTGCCTGTAGCTGTAGTTAGTGTAGTTATTTAAACTTTGTATTGGTGGTGCACCTTATGTGTTTCCTTTGCTATATGTACTTCCAAACTATAGTGAAGCCACACATTTCTCCAACTTTTCTCAACTCACTCGAACTCCTACCTAGGCCCAAAACCGCTCGACACCTAAAGCTCGGGCCTAGGCTACTAAGCCTAGGCCCCACCTTTCTACCTCTCAACTTACCTATTCGTATTACTCTCGACATGTTATCGGAGCTTTTTACGACCTGGCCTGTGTGCCCGCCTTACGCTTCCGCGATGAGTTTTCAGTCGCGCGTCTAGGGCGCGTGACGATTTTTTAATTAGTCCCGCCCACGGGTGTGTGGCTCCTTCTCTGCCCGTCGCGCGCCCCGTGGCACGCGACGGTGCCCTTCATCTGCCCATCGTGCGCCCCGTGGCACACGATGGTGCCCTGCTCGTCGTGCGCCCCTAGGCGCACGATCGGGCCCGGTTTCTTCTCCTACCCGTCGTGCGCCCCGTGGCACTGGCCCGCGACGGGCCTTTCCGCCCCTGCACTCCCTGGAGCCGCCCCTGACCCAACTGCACCGACACCTTTTCGCCGCTCTGCGGCTTTCTTCCTTCCCACCCCCCTCCTCCTTTGTCTCCCTGCATCCGTGGGGAGGAGGGTATGGGGGTGGAGGGTGTTGGAGTGTGGCGTCACCTCTCTCCCTTCCCCTCCTCCTTCTTTCAGTCCCACCGCTGCAGCTGCCGCTGGGGGGGGAGGGTGTGAGGATGTGGGGGAGCAGGGGGAGTGGTACCGGGGTGGCGGGTGTGAGGCAACAAGCAGCCGTCCCTCCACCTCTCCTCTCTTCCCCCCTTCTCTGCTGCTTCTGCAGCAGTGTGGGGGAGGGGAAGGAGGAGGGTGAGGAGATGGAGGGGGTGACCAACTAGTGTCAGCCCGCCTGCATTACCTGCTGTTGCTTGCTTGTTATTACTTTGCATGTGTACACCTGCAGGTTGCATTCTGCACATACTCCTGCTGCAGGCAGTTATGGGGGAGTGTCAACTTATATTTGTAACTGCCTGTAGCTGTAGTTAGTGTAGTTATTTAAACTTTGTATTGGTGGTGCACCTTATGTGTTTCCTTTGCTATATGTACTTCCAAACTATAGTGAAGCCACACATTTCTCCAACTTTTCTCAACTCACTCGAACTCCTACCTAGGCCCAAAACCGCTCGACACCTAAAGCTCGGGCCTAGGCTACTAAGCCTAGGCCCCACCTTTCTACCTCTCAACTTACCTATTCGTATTACTCTCGACAGTAGGGTGCAGTGGCGGGCCGGCAGGTGCAGCGGCGAGACCGGCAGGTGCAGCGGCGAGGCCGTCAGAGGCGGCAGGCCGCTGGGTGCAGCGGCGGGCCGGCAGGTGCAGTGGCGGGCCGGCAGGAGCAGCGGCGGGCCGGGAGGGGAGGCGGCGGAGCCGCGTCAGGGGAGGCAGCAGGGCCGCGTCAGGGGAGGCGGCGAAGCCGCGTCAGGGGAGGCGGCGGTGCCGCGTCAGGGGAGGCGGGGGAGCCGCGTCAGGGGAGGCGGCAGGGCCGCGTTAGGGGAGGCGGCGGGGCCGCGTCAAACAGGCGGCGGGGCCGCGTCAGGGGAGGCGGCGGAGCCGCGTCAGGGGAGGCGGCGGGGCCGCGTCAGGGGAGGCGGCGGAGCCGCGTCAGGGGAGGCGGCGGGGCCGCGTCAGGGGAGGCGGCGGGGCCGCGTCAAACAGGCGGCGGGGCCGCGATCAGGAGAGGTGGCGGGGCCGCGTCTGAGGGACAGCGGGGCCGCGAGGGAAAAGGCGACTCGAGGGGGTCGCTAAAAAAAGGCGCGCCTCGGGGCGCGCTTCGGTGGGCCCTAAAAAAACGGTCCTAAGGCAGGACCCGCTCTATACCATGTGAAGCAAGGAAAACAGGAATGAGAATGACTAAGGAAAGATTGGGTACAAATACAACCCTAGAAACCCTGTACCCCATATGTGCTACCCCACTATAGCCTACAGCAACTATGTCATATAAATATGACATTCACTACTCAGGGGCCCCGCCATGGACTGGTGGCGAGTCATCGTGACGTCGCCACGCGCCTACGAGCCACCGTCGCACGACGAAGGGCCCTCGGGTCCAGCTGTTACCTGGAGTTCGTTCTGCGAAACCGCCCAATACAGCACGTGGGATGCGTGGTGCGCAGGGCTTCGGGCGCGCTTTGAGCCGATCGCGGCTTCGATTTCGGCGCGTCAGAAACTGCGCACTTGGCGCCAGCTCGGGTCAGTTCAAGACTACACCAGCGGTTTTCTCGCACTTTGCGAACAGGTCGGCTACATGCACGAGGCGGAGCGGGTGGACCGTTACGTCGGAGGGCTGAAGCCGGACATCTCGCACGAGATAATGCTGCGCGGGCTCTCGAACTTCAACGAGATTCTCGCACTCGCCGAGAAAATCGACATCCTACGCCGACCGAGACCGGGGTCCTATTACGGACATCGTCCTCGGGGACCGATCGAGCACGCCACTGTACATGCCGTCGCAACGAATGCAGCTGCCACACCATTTAGAGGGCGCTGTTTTGCTTGCAACCGGCCGGGCCATCGCAAGAGCGAATGCCCAGAGGAGCTGAGGCGTCGAGGAGCAGAGCAGGGGAGGGAGTCTCAAAGGCAGGGAAACGCCAGCAGTCAGTAGAAGTTGGGCCAACTACTGACGAGACTGCCTGCTCGCCCAACCACACCGACCCTCACCGAGTCACAGTACCGATTCACGCCATCGATCGGGCTCGGATGAATAAGGAGGGTACAACGACGGATTGCCCGGTACTGATCTACGGGAAAATACAGGGAGCAGCAGTGAAGATCTTTATTGACGGAGGCGCAAGTCACAGCTTAGTTAATACCGCAACCGCACGGAAATTACAGTTAACACTTAACCGATGCTTACCTGAGATAGATGCACGCTTAGTCGACGGCACGCCCCTGGCCATACGGAAAAAGGTGGAGCGAGTAAAAGTCCGCTGCGGGGGGAACTTCGGGTTTACACAGGAAATGCTCGCAACGACACTGGATGGGCACGACATTTTATTGGGACGTGATTGGCTGCGACGGTACAACCCACGGATTGACTGGACGACGGGGAGCTGCACAGTGCGAAGTAGTGGTAACTGGGTCATTCTACCTCGCTGGCAGCCACCCGAATCTTCGACGGTCCAGGTCAACGCCATCACGATGAAACGGGCTGTCGCTGCTGGAGCTGACGTGTACGCAGTGGATATCGCGCTAGTAGAAAAAAGAGGAGCAGCCAAGTGATTTAGAGAAACTGCTGGCAGCTGTACCGACCGAACTACAGGCACTACTGAAACGGTTCCCGGGTATATTTCCGGATGATTTACCACAGGGACTGCCACCTCAGCGGGCGCACGACCATAGGATCGAGTTAGAACCGGAGGCACAGCCAACTGTACAGCGACAATTTTGACTGACACAGCCCGAGCTCGACGAGTTAAGGAAGCAGTTAGATTACCTGTTAGAGAAGCAGTTTATCCGACCGAGCTCGTCGCCGTTCGCCGCACCGATACTGTTCACACCGAAAAAAGACGGAGGGTTCCGCATGTGCATCGACTACCGAGCGCTTAACAAGGTAACAGTCAAATCGCGATACCCCATCCCCTGCGCCGACGAATTGATCGACCAATTACGAACAGGACGAGTCTTTTCGAAAATAGATTTACGGGGAGGTTACCATCAGATTCGGATCGAACCATCGGACTGCGCCAAGACAGCATTTAGGACTAGGTACGGGTCGTTCGAGTATACAGTGATGCCTTTCGGGCTGACGAACGCGCCTGCAACATTTCAGATGACCATGAACGAGGCGTTTAGACCACTTTTAGATAAATGCGTGATAGTTTACCTGGACGATATTCTAGTTTACAGCCGGGATAAGCAGCAGCACTTAGTAGATCTTGAAGCAGTTTTTAAGGTTTTAGAAGAACATCGGTTACTCACCAAGGGCTCCAAGTGCGAGTTTTTTCGGGATAGGCTAGAGTTTTTG